TCCAGGTTTTCCTTCGCAGCACCTTTAGTTGAGAATTGAAGAACGCGATTTCGTTATGCATTCCAGTTTATGCAGCTAACCTTCACAAAGGGTGTGCCTTGTTAAATTCATGAACTAGACCACCGGTGTCGGTGGGTGGAATGGTCAGGCAGAATATATCTTCCACGTACCGACTGTTGAACTTAAGGTCCTTGATGGCATCTTTGAGACTCTTTCGTTCCACTCTGCCCATTAAGACATTAACTTGCAAATTTCGTTGATTACGAATAGTTTTTTCATCGACTCCTCGTAATAGATGCTTCGTAAGTTTCTGTTACGCATCGTCATGTTTTACTTATTTCGCAGTGTCAACCTCCTGTTCCACTTTTAACATCTGAACTGGTATCCTTAGCAAATGGTTGTCTTATCCATATCTATTGATCTAGTTTGAGATCACAGAGAGTACCTAAAAACACCATGATACTCCGATAGTAATCAGAAAATTATTAAAACTAATTCTCTTCAACACTCAGAGAAAAATATTAGCCCCGGTTCGTTTTATTGCAATGAATCACATCAAAACTTCAGCCACAAAGCGGTCACCCTAATAAATTCCTTTTTTACCAAAATATGACACTTCGTATTTCACCGATTTTTGCAAGTTCACAGGAAAAGAGAAGCTTTACGGAGAAAATCTTACGGTACTCATTTAAACCAGGAAAATCCCATTGCCGGACAGCAAAAAAGTTTCACCTTACTTCATACCACATTCAAATAAGGTTAATATGATCAGAATCTCTTAACTACTGTCGGTAAGAAGGCCAAAGCCCTATATGTTACTTTAACGAAATGACCTAGGTTAAACAACGATCTGCTCGGGACTAAGCGAAGCCCTACGGGATTTTAGACCATCAACGATCCCCTAACGATTCGAAACGTGGCCAATGTTTGCACAATAAATTATAAGGTCTACTTTTTTGGCAGGATGTGTCGACAAAGTTTAAAACGGTGGACTATAGCTGCGCAATTTCTATGTGGCGCCAGAAATAACAGCCCCCGTTCGGCTGTCTCTGCAAAAGAATGAGATTTTGGGCAGCAGCAGTTGTCAGAATGGCCTGTTGGCTCCGGAGATTGAGCGATTTGTTCTTTTATGAAATGAGATTTTGTTGACGGCATTGTCCGAACACTTGACATCACAATAAAATACTAGTAAAAATTAAGGCTAACACAAGGGACGTTTCTGTCTACGAATGAAACCTGATTCTTACACAGTCTTTTGTACACATACGTCTGCATTTAAAATTTGATTTCAAAGGTTTACATATGATTATCATTTTCGGCCCTGAATTTAGCGTGGACGCTGGCCGTCACAAAAAGATGCGGCATCACACTTTTGAGCAGCAGGACTCGACCTTAGACAGAAAAGAATGAAGCTCTGAAGCTATTTTTAAATTAATAAAGTTGAGAGATCGGGGTGAATGATATACGAAATAAGGTGGGCTCATCGGAAGAGAGTTATTCATATGTAGACGTTTCGGAGACCTTGGTGAGCTCGCCATTGTCAAAGCATTGTGAACAGAACTGGAAGTAGCGTGCCATGGCATGCTTGCCGACCTCGGCCCTTTGGAGGATGTTTGGTGGACAGTCTAGCTGCCTATGTTATCAGTCACCCCCTCGACGAGGGAAGGAAGGTGCAGGCGGTAGAGCCCCTGCCGGTATCGTTCGGACCGGCAGCTATTTTCCTTCGTCGGGTCAGTTCTTTATCAGGTTGTGTCTGTACGGCTTTCTTAAGTTCGGTGTAACCATCTTTTCCGGAGCTTCATGTGCATAATGACGTAAGACTTTATAAGCTGCAGGAAGGTCAAAATACCTGTTAGCAGATTTTAAATCTGAACACCACGAGGGATAAATAAAATAAAATACCCTGTATTTTAAAAATCGTAGTCAAAATTCTCAGTAAAAAATGGCTCCTTTACGGGACAAATTAACAAAATACACAAAGTTCTAGAGGTTTACGTAAAATACGCACCCGTTTTGGAGAAAGGTCAAAGCTTAGCTTCTGGATTTCCGTTTATTTACATGTGAGATAGTGTTCTAGAAAGGGCAGTACAGAATGCTGATATACGACGGGACATATGTTGGAAGCATCCACGAGTAGCACGGGAAGACTTCACAACCATTAATTCGAAGTAGGTAATGGGCAACTACATCAAGAATGCAATCAGCGAATTGCTTGACCGTTGTAAAATGTCGCTATATTATAATATCAGCTAAAAGAGCACATAAAAGCACCGGCAACTTAAGAGGACATTTGGAGGAGCAGGAAAAATTACCGGAGGGAAATAGAGAATTAGAGGGAGAATGCAGTCATCTATACATCGCCAGACTACGGCTTGAGTTGAGGAACGTGACCGACGGATATGATAACGGAGTTTACGAATTTTATTGGAAAGGACTTCAATGTGAAGGGAAAATGAAAGATTAGATGTCAGAGTAACACCAAGGTACCAGAAAGACGATACCTCGTTGGGTAGGAGGTCAAAGGATTCAGGACTGTAAGCGGGCCGCAATTGGAAAATGCATTGCGCCGACGTCTGCTTGCTCAGTAGGAGACCATTGGCTAACAATCATGCTGAGACATGGTCCAGATAATCTTGCAGAACTTGGAGGTGTGCTGGATTTCTGAGAGGATGACCAAAAAACCATACCAGCAGCACATTTTCCAGACAAACATTCAATTGGAGATCTTAGGTAGTCAGCGTAGAGGGAGAAGAGGAAGGGAGATAAGACAGACCCTTGGGGGACTCTGCTGTTGTTAGGAAGATCGAAATTATTGCCAATTTATCCAACCTCCTTTGCAAGCTGAGATTTTAGTTTAACCTGTCAGCTAGAGATTTGTGCTCCTATAGGCGGGTTTGCAATTCTCGCCCTGCTTACCCAATATAATTGTAGCCCCCTCCTTCAACGTCTTTTTCGTACAATTGCTGAGGAAGATATGTAGTGCTCGCTGCCCACTGACGACCTCCATTGCTTTGTCCGGCGACATTTTTCAAGGCCAGCTGCCTCAGGGTCATCCAATACCTCAGTCAGCGCTTACAGACGCGCTGACCTGCAGAGACTTGACCTAATTCCACTCGGACACACACGTGCGTCTAGGTTCTCGCGGCTGCCCAAACACCACTCGAACATGTCCCTTTACCCCCACTCTTGGCCATCAGACATCACTTAGGACCACGGCGTTCTAGCAGAATGACATGTGCTCCGAGGTTAAAACTATTTCCATCTATTCTTCGTTCCTTTGTATACACAATAAACTATTCCTACTATTCTGGCCTCAACCGACTTCTCCTCCACTAAGTGACCATGGTCTGAAGATCGCAATTGTTAGAGCTTAACTTACTTAACTCCCTGCGATAGGTATTCAACGGTTATGCAAAAAACCATGCCAACAAGAAAAACTATGCATGCGCAGGACGACCAAAAACCAACCGCTGAGTCAGGTACCTCCTGCCGGCGTGAATATCTAGTTGGTGGTTGACGTAGCCCTAGCTACCATGAGTCACTCCTAGAGTACCTTACGTAACGTTATTCAGCTAATTGGATTAAGGAGCTTAAGACATTATTTTCGGGAAAAGAGCTTTGTTACTGAGTATTGTTAGGAAATAAACAGACCTAAAATTACGCTGCGTTCAGATGCAGAAAATGGTGTGCACGGGCAAAAACAACAAGTAACTTGCCCCTAGCAGTATTCCTGAAATTGCCCTGAAATGACTACGGTATCATTCTCCGGAGCAACCGATTACGGGCCATTTTTGTTGAAGTGGCTGATATCTGCTACCCCTAAAGGTTCATGTGGGCAAATATAGGTCGGCCACGTGGTTTAATTGAAAGTTAATGTTAAGCGTTTTGAAAATGCGCGAAAACAACTGAATGGGAGGCAGATCGATATCATTTAAAAACAACACTTTGAAGAATAGTACCAGAAGAGAAATTGGCGAACATACGTTTGTTTCCGATAAATTCTCATCAGGCCTTTAT